CATGCTTAGATTGTTGTGTTTGCTTTTGAATTATTATAACCAATATTTTTGTATAACTAACAGTGAGAGTGAGAGATGATGATGATGATGATGATAAGGATGGAGAAAGTGAGAGAAGATGCTGAGAAGAGGGAGACAAAGATGCCAAGGTTAATCCAATTGGAAGAAAAATTATTCAAAGTTACAAAACTTTTTTTTTCTCTTCTTCCAATTCCTTAAAAAAAATACTTTTCATCATCATCTCCCTTCTCCCTTCTCACTCTCACTCTGATTCTCATTCATAAACACACACTTTCTGCGTAATGATGATAAAAGATGAAGATAAAGGGTGAACAAATGTAAAGTAATATATATTCACACCAATAGAAGATGGTGATAAATATTGAAAGAAGATGAAGATAAAAAAATTCATAAAATCACAAGAAACCTCATTGAAGAAATTGCTCTCTCTCTCTCTCTCTCCATCCTCATCCTTTATTTTCCCTCTAGTCAGCGATTTCCAATATTAATATAAATAAGAAACTGATTGAAATAAATCATTTCGCCTTAATGATTGATCAGTAGTTTATCATGATAAAGGGTAAGTGCTGCCATCGGCGCTTACAGAGGTTGATATTATATTGATATTAACATTTGAATTTAATATCATCAAGCAAAGGATGAAGATGAAGATGCAATAAGAAATTATATCAATTCATTCATTCAATTTATATATTATATAAATACACTAATCGACTAACTGGTTGCTTTTAAATAATAAATTTTATCATTTCCTCTCCTCCTCATCTTGCTCATCTTTCCCACCCCAATCCCAAGTCTCTTCATCATCATTACTGTTACTTTTCATGATTATCATTATTAATCAATTGCCTTTTCTTGATATAGATTTTTTTTATATTTATTACTTATTTACATTGAAAGATAAATCAAACAAACAACAACAATGATTCAAAATGAATTTCAACTTTCTCTTCATCATTAGCATCTCTCTCTCTCTCTCTCTCAGTATCGCATCTTCATCCTCATCATTTTTCTTGCCTCTTCTTTTTCAATCTGAATTATTATGATGATCATTTACTTGTATTATTATCATGATGAGGTTAATGATGATTCTTATTCAATTACATTCAATATTTATTGTTGTTCTTGTTGTTTCTTTACTCTTATGATTATAAATTAGCATCAATTTGTTTTCGTTTGTTATTTTTTTGTTGTTGTTGTTTCTTTGCAGTTACTTTTACACTTATTAATAAATAATCACATAGATGAAGGTTTCAATCTCCCTCATAATTATTTTATCATGATGCTGATGAAAAGTCAAGAAGTTATCATGATGATATTTAAAAATATTTTGTTAACTTTTTTTGTTCATTAAAAACGTTTACATGGTTACGGTAACATGGTTAATCTGTTAACTACTTGAAAACCTTGTTACCTTTATCTCATATTATTATTATCATGATCTTCATGATGATGATGATGATGATGGTTCCATTGAGTTAACTCACACTTATTATTATTATTACCTTTCAATAGTATAGGTTGAAACTCCTCCGATCGTAACCCATCAACCCCCAAGAACAAAAGTGATGAAGATGATGATGAAGATGAAGAACAACCTATAACTTGATCTCTCTCTCTCTCTCTCTCTCTCTCTCTCTCTCTTCATGAGAGGAAACATCTTCTCTTCCTTGTCAATCTTTTTGAGCTCTTCATCTTCATCTTCCTTCCTCCCACTTCCCTTTCTCCCTTACTTCATTTCTTTAACCTTATTTGATTTACTTTCCTTTCATATAAGATTATCTTCTTACCTCATCATCCTCATCATCATCTTATAATGTTATTAAGACTCATTCAATCAGATGATAAACTTAAACAATCATTATCATTGATAAATCAAATTCAATTTTGTTATTTCAATTGATTCCAATTCATTGCAATCACAGATTAAAGGTTAATAAAGACATTGATTGTTAATCACTGTTAACTTTTATCAGATTATTTATCAATAGTTTACAATTAACAATCAATTTGAATTCAATTTATTTTGCTCCTGTTACTTTTCAATCACTTCAATTGATAAAATTTCTCAAAGTTATTAAGTATTACCAACTAATCCAATTCAATTGGATAATGAGAACAGAATAATCAACTAATTAATTGTAAATTAACCTTCATCATTGGAATCATGAATAATAATAGAAGAAAAAATTTCCTGTTGGAATTGTCGACATTTCCGTTCTAATCTGATAAATTGCCCTTGACCTCAATTATTTATTCATGAAAATGAATCAAATTAAATCGGGAAATTGAGATAATATCATTTTACTGATTATCGTCATCATCATTATCATGAAAATCTGATTGTTCATCATGAAGATGAAAAAGACAATAAGAAAATAAAATGAACTTTTTCATCGTTTTTTTTGATGTTATTATTACTTATCCATTCCAATACTGAGTAATACATTTAATCATTATTAAGATTAAGGATGATGATGATGATTATAATAATGATCATCATCAACATGATCATTATTGACGATAACAATATATTCATATCACGAGTTTACATTATAAGAAATTCATTCCAATTCTTTGGTTGATTTTCATTCAAATTGTGAACTAAATTTCCAGTGTGTTGGAGATAAAATTAAATAATCTTTCAAAAAGAAAGAAAAAAAGAAAGATGAGTTGTCCATCATCATCATCATCTTCATCTTCATCATTTTCAATAATAGAAAATTACCTTAGGCGTATTAAATAAGATGAAGAAAAGTTAATCGGATCATATCTTCCTCCTTCTCCTCCTTCACCTTCCTTCATGATAATCATAATCATCATCTTTTGTATTTCAACCTGAGCCTCATCATCATCATCATCATCATCATTCTGCTCCCTTACATGATAAATACATTATCTCCCTCAAATGATGATAATGATCGATTGTAAATCTCACGATTAACTTTTCTCAAAAAAACGACCAACAGAAACATAAGAAAATCCTTTTCCTTGATGCTTCACTTATACTTCATCACATTGTTCATCCTATTTTGTAGGTGCTTAAGATGAAGATGACTAGATGAGGATGAGAGAGAGAAAAGGTCAATTACATTTACAACGAATCGATTAATAATAAGAAAGCTTGTCTCTCTCTCTCTCTCTCTCTCTATCTTCATCATGACCTCTATTTTCATATTATCCAATTCCCGATTCATTTATGGGAATGGCCTTTAATTTGAGAGACAATATCATCTCATCATAATCATCATCTTATTATTATCTTCACCTTTTTTTTACCTTCTTATAGATCTGATATTGAGTTTTCTCTCTCTCTCTCTTCATTATCATCCATCATTATCTTCATCTCACTTCCTTTATTCTCATTATGTTGATTCATGTTACTTGATATTCTGGTTAATTACAAATTCATTCTTGATTGAGTTAAGAATACAATAAGTTAATTTAATTGTGCGACAATTTAAATTTCCTTTTACTTGAATTACAAAGAAAATTGACTCAATTTATGAGATGATTTTCTTTCGGCAATTTAGTTGAAATTATTTATTATTTTTTCGTTTGTTCGACTAACGAAATATTTCAAGATTCTCATCACTAATCATCCGCTAGAATAATGATAACTTATCATGGGAGATAATTAGAGGAAATAATAGTTATTTATTTATTGAGATTCTCTTCATCTTGTTGGTCATCTAAAAGATAGAGTTTAATCTTGAGGAAATAGAAAGTTCTGAAGATGATATATATAATTTTTTCTTCTTCATCATTTTATATATTCTTTTATATTGTTTCGATAGAATTGAAATAACCATGAAGAAGACGATAATAGGAGGAGTTATCTTGATATTCATTGGGATTGGGTGTTTCTGGACATGAGTAGTATTGAAATGTTACCATGAATCATGATACTGAATGATGAACATTTTATCTGATTCATTGGAAAGGCAATTTAAGAGTATGATGATGACGAAGAGAGGGAGAGAGTGAGAGAGAGACAGACAGAGGAGGTAAAATTTGAGCTACTGAAACGAAATGAAAGAACAAAAAAAGAAAAAGAAAGAGAAGATAAATTTATCATCATTGTGATGCAAACGCCTATTTTCAAACATTACCTATAATTGGAGAGAAAGAATCAGAATCAGAATTTGGACCAAAACCTATCAATGGTCACTCTCAGAAGGAATATCATGAAATGCAATTAGAGAAGAAAAAACGAAAATTATTCCACCAAATGATTCAGTAGAATTAGAATTAAGATTGATGAGGGAAAATGTTTCATTTTCGATATTCCCATAATTCAGAGTTATTATCATGAAAGAGAAACGAAAATAAATTGGTTCCAATTTTCACCTTTAATTTCATTCCTTCCTCATGATCAATTCACTCAACATGATCATCTTAATCTTCATCATGAAAATCATCACAACGCCTTTCTCTCTCTCTCTCATTAGAATAAAAAAATGAAAATGATCAAAAGATTAACGATTTTAAATTTAATCAAAAAACTTTTTCTCAACTTTGATAACTAATAATATAAAATAAATAGTAAACTTTAAGCTTAATCCAACAAGAGGAAACTGTAATCTCTCATATAATCTGATTATCATGATGATTAGATGATGAAGATAATCAAGTTTATATGGAATGATTTAAATCCAATATATGGTTTATTACCTACACCCTTGTATTTTGAGCCACGTCCTACCTGATCAATGATAGATAATGACAACGAGAAAACAACAATTAATATTGTTTTCTTAATCATCATCATCATCATCTTCATCTCTCTCTCTCTCTCTCTCTTTCATTTTCCACCTCCGCTTAACTTATCAACCAATCAAATAAATTAATTATTATGCTGATTATGTTGATGATTATCAAGTAATTTCAATAAAATGATCAATCTCTCACTTTAAGTGAATGATTTTCTCATCTTTTACTTACCTACATCTTTTTGATTATTATTATTAATTATTCAGGTAAAGAGACAACATCATTTAAACAAGATGATCCCGCCGCCGAGGAAAAGATCAGGCAAATATTAATTGAAGCTCAAGGAGCAATGGTTACACCCTCAATACGAACCTCATCATCCGGTGGATTCATGAGAAATCAGATTACAAGTGGATTATCATCTTCATCTAATGGTGAAATTATTGGTCCATTGGGTCTAATTAAATCGGATAAAATGACCACATCAATAATTGGTATTGGAGGTGGAGGTATGAATAGAGGAGGTGGACTTATGAGAGATAATGATGAATCTGATCAGATTCTGATAGGAGTACACCCGGAGGCGGTGGTGGTGGTGGTGGTCGATCACCTCCACTCTTGACCTCATCATTGGCTCATCTTCATTCATCTTCCAATAGTAATAACAATAATAATAACAATGCCATCAACCTGGCAACGGGTTTGAGTGCAATCTCTAATCATTATCATCATCATAATAATTCATCATCATCTCTGGTCAACAACTCAAATTCCCCCTCTGGACTTTTACGATCTTCATCAGGTAATCATTCAAATTCAAATAACAATTTAAACAATAATCTAAATGCCAATAGTAATTCAAATTCGAGGCAAAATGATTTAGATAATAAACAAGCTTCTCATGAAACGATTGCTCGAATTTATCAAGAAGAATTGGCCAAATTAATTGGTCAACAGGTTGAAGAGGGTTTTCGACATCCTCATGGAATGAATTTCGATCGTAATCCTGATCAGATTCGTCAGGCATTTACTATTTATCATCAAGAATTATCTCGTCTCCATCAATTGGTCTCATCTGGTGTTGGTCATCTTAATTCACCTGCGGCGGCGGCTGCTGCTGCCGCTGCGGCAACTGATCCGGAAGTTTTTGCTCGTCTTGCCGCTGCTTCCCTAGTCAATGGAGCGGGTTACCTTGGATTCCCACAAATGTTACCTGGTATTAATTTATCTTCATCTAGATCACCAAGTAGAGGTACAAGTATTACCGGTGTTAAGGTTAATTCAACTGAACCAGGTCGTGAATCAGTATCACCACAAGATTTTCATCATCGTTTGTCTTCTAGCCCATCATCTTCATCACCACCACCGCCAATATCAAGCTCACATTTAGCCAATAGTTTATCAACTTCCAATGGTGGTGGTTGTGGTACCAATCTATCAATATCTGCCAATAATCAAGGTCGATCAACACCCGAATCACCTGATATTGATTCACCACCACATCGATCATCATCATCACAACAAACTAGTGCCTTCTCCCTTGTCCGATCCAAGCTGGAACCAGGAAGTAAACAACACCATCATCAACAGCAACAACGATCCTCTTCACCGGCTTCTGCTGCAGCCGTTGCAGCCGCTGCAGTTGCCGCAGCAGCAGCAGCCGCAGCCGCAGCAGCAGCGGTTGCAGGTTTACCTGTTGGCCTTGATATGGTTTCAAATGGTTCATCTTCAACCTCTTCAAATACACCAAACAATTTAACAAGTATTCATGGTGTTGAAAATTCAAACAGCGGTGCCAATAATAGTAACAATAATAATGGGCTCACCTCCGTGGCCGCTGAGGATTTATCTGCTGCAGCTTCACCTCTACAGCGAATGCAATCAATTACCAATTCATTATTATCTCAATCATCAGTTCCGCCAATATCATCGACACCTAATCGACCATCAAAAGCCGTTTTACCACCGATAACCCAGAATCAATTTGATCATTATAATAATTTAAATACCGAAGATATTGTTAAGAAAGTTAAAGAACAGCTAAGTCAATATTCAATTAGTCAAAGGCTTTTCGGTGAATCAGTTTTGGGACTTTCTCAAGGTTCCGTTTCCGATTTACTTGCTCGACCCAAACCTTGGCACATGTTAACCCAAAAAGGCCGTGAACCTTTTATACGAATGCAAATGTTTCTCGAAGATGATAATGCTGTACATAAATTAGTCGCTTCCCAATATAAAATTGCCCCTGAAAAATTAATGAGAACCGGTGGTTACTCAGGTAATCCAATTGGATCAACAGGTTCCAATACGATGGTTTCATCATTGGTTTTAAGTACCAATCCAGGTTCATTGGGCTCGATTAATTTGACCTCCGGTGGATTAAACAATCTAACAAGTTGTACACCTTCAACTGGTCCAATTACAACTCTAACAACACCTTCATCAAATCATAATCATCATGGTGGTTCATTGTCACCTAATCATGGTAACACTGCTTCAATAATTAACACCAGTGGTTCAATTAAAGATTCACCTTCATCTGTAACATCAATTTCAACGAAACGTGAAATTTTAAATGATTCAATTGTTGTAGGACGAAATGATCTCACTAATTCACTTGGATCTCGATCAAGTCCAGTTTACGGTAATGGTTCAGGTCAAATATCATCTGGATCAACACCCGAGCACACACCCAATTCAACCCTAATCTCAGCAAATCAATCACCTCCAAGAGGTAAGTTAATCCTAATCAAAGTTGATGATAATATTTACTAAACCCACTACCAGTAACTCTAATCAAATTAGGTCATTTAATTAACTTACGAACCCCTCAAACTAATTAACTTTACATTGATTAGTAATTGGAAACTTTTAAAGAAAAAAAAACAAAACTTTTTACTTTACTAATGAAAGAAACTTTTTCTCTACTTTTGTTTTTCGTTGATCGTTAAGGCTCATCAAATTATCTAAAACGACGCTACGATGGTACAACGCTATCAATAGGTGGTAATAGTAATTCGAGCAGTAATAATGGTAATGGCGGCGGTGGGGATAGATCTTCACTCACCTCTGGAGGTATTTCGTATATGCAACCATCGGTTTATGAAATGGCCGCAATTACCCAAGACTTTGACACCGCTGCAATTACAACCAAAATAAAGGAAACGCTGATGGCTCACAATATTGGACAAAAGGTAAGTCAGAACTTTTCATTTGATTCATGAAAATGATCATGAATACGAAAAACCAATTGATTTTCATGGTAAACTGAGTTTTCTCATTTGGTTTGTTTTTGTTTTTGTTTCTATTTCTTATTTTTTGTTTCCTCTTCCTTTATTATTATTATTATTATTTTCAATTTAGATTTTCGGTGAAATTGTATTGGGATTATCTCAAGGTTCGGTGAGTGAGTTACTCTCTAAACCTAAACCATGGTCAATGTTAAGCATTAAAGGTCGTGAACCTTTTATAAGGATGAAAATTTGGTTAACCGATACTTGTAACATTGAACGACTTCAGGCCATTAAAAATGAACGTCGAGAGTTGAACAAGAAACGTCGTATCAATGGAGATGAAGTTTCATCCATATCATCAACAAAATCAACCTCATCTTCTGATCCAATTATTCATCATCATAATCAACATAATAACAACAGTAACAATAATCATCATAATAATAATCATAATAATAATCATAATAATCACATGACCACAATTTCCTCGTACCAACAAGATGAAATTGGTACATTGGACCTTTCAATGCCATCGAAAGCATCATCGCAACATCAATCACCTCGTCCAAAGACATCAAATAATCATCATTATTCAATTAGTGGTAAGGTAACTGAAGATTCAGATGATTCTGAAACTGGTTCATTGGAAGATTCATCTTCATCTAGGCGACATCATCGTCATTTATCATCTCGTCATCATCATGGTAAAAATACAACAACAACGATCACCATGAATCCAATTTCATCATCAACCTCATCAAGTTCAAGGAGGAAACCAGCAATACCTCAATGGGTGGCTCCTGATATTGAATGTTTTGGTGATGATGAGGAAGATGATGTTGATTCTGATCATCTTTTAGTGTTATCATCATAAATGAATTGATTTCATAATGAATGCTAATGATGATGATGATGATGACAATGGGAAAATCAAAGCCAAATTTAAGTTATTAACTTGTTTTTTTTTAAGATGAGGGAAAACCTTACAAATAATCATAATCCTAATTTTGTGTGTTTCTTATGATGATGATGAAAAGAAGACAAAAATAATAATGAAGCAAAATGAAATGAGAAGCAAAAAACTGATGGATAACAATAGATGATTATTATTATTCAGATGATGATGAGGATGATATCAAAATGATAACCTGGGAGTGTAAATTATCATTAGAAAGTTTTAAGAAAACAAGATGAGGATGAGGAAAGAAATGATTAGTGATGATACAAAAGGGATGTGAATGAGATTATTGTTATTACTCAAGTTTTTTTTGTTACTATTCATTCAGTTTATCATGTTCATCATCATGGAGTAAATCTACTTGTATATTAACAATTATTTTAGAAAAAAAAAAAAAATTATTTTTTCTTCTCTTTTTTTCTCTTACTCTTCTCATCCTCATCACACTCTCCTTTGATTATTTGAGCTTGAAGGAAAATAATAATTATTATAATAATGATAATGATAAATTCCCAGAGTATGATGATATTCATGGGGCTGAATAAGATGAAGGGTGAAAGAGTAAAGAGAGAGAGAGAGAGTAAGGTGAGCATATCGAATCAATTGTTTAAAGAAATTGAGATGGAAATGAATTCTCTTCTTCTAGATTCTATTATTTTCTATTGGAAACAATAGAGAAGAAGAAGAAAAAAATAATAATCATCTCCATCATTTCTCCTTCAACAATCGGCTGATAATTTAACTCACAGAGAGACAATAGATTATCATCTTATTCTTCCCCCTTTTTTAATGTCTTCTCACTTGAATAACTGTTTTTTAATAAGAGAGAGAGAGAGAGATGATGAAAAAAAAGAGATGAAGATAATAAGTTTCAATGTGACAAAATCTTTACGATTTTAAGTCAAAACTTTTTTCTTCTCTTTTTTTCTCTTACTCTTCTCATCCTCATCACACTCTCCTTTGATTATTTGAGCTTGAAGGAAAATAATAATTATTATAATAATGATAATGATAAATTCCCAGAGTATGATGATATTCATGGGGCTGAATAAGATGAAGGGTGAAAGAGTAAAGAGAGAGAGAGTAAGGTGAGCATATCGAATCAATTGTTTAAAGAAATTGAGATGGAAATGAATTCTCTTCTTCTAGATTCTATTATTTTCCATTGGAAACAATAGAGAAGAAGAAGAAAAAAATAATAATCATCTCCATCATTTCTCCTTCAACAATCGGCTGATAATTTAACTCACAGAGAGACAATAGATTATCATCTTATTCTTCCCCCTTTTTTAATGTCTTCTCACTTGAATAACTGTTTTTTAATAAGAGAGAGAGAGAGAGATGATGAAAAAAAAGAGATGAAGATAATAAGTTTCAATGTGACAAAATCTTTACGATTTTAAGTCAAAACTTTTTTTTCTTCCTCTTTCATCATCATCTTTGTGTCTTCTCACTTATATAAACTTAGATCTCTCTCTCTCTCTCCCACCTCCCACTTTTAAACCACAAACAAAAAACTCTCTCTCTCTCTCTCTCTTTTAACTCTTTTTACTTTATCATCATCATCATTTTTGTCTTCCTTTCATCATCATCATCTTTTCCTCTTCGCTTTAATTATCTTAGAGGTGGAAAAGATGAAAAATCCAGCAAACAAACACTAGAAATGAAAAGAATCACCAAGAGATTTCTGAACTTTCTTTCATTTCTTTTCATCTTCTCTAACCTCTCTCACTCTCTCTCTCTCTCATGCTCATCCCACCTTACACCCTCATCGTTATTATGATTATCATCATCATCTTTTGTTTCACTTTTACTGTTGACTGATGACAAAAGAAAAACAAAAGAAAGAGAGAAAGAAAAAAAAACTTTCTCTTCATCATCATCATCTTACATTCATAATAATAACAAATTTTTGCAATTAAAATACATAACAAGAAATTACTAATAATAAAAATATATATATTAATCATCTTCATCATCTTCCTCCCACTTCTTACCAACTTCACAAAACATAATCATCATCATCATCATCATCATAATGATACAAACACTTTAATAACTTTTATCCTCATCCCTCATCTTTATCCTCTCTCTCTCTCACACTCTCTCCTCATCACTTTTATTTATTACCATTATAATTATTTATCCTCTCCAATGATAATAATAATAATAACAACAACAATAATAATCATCATCATCTGAAACTTGAGGTTCTGTAAAATATTAATAAAAAAAAAGTTACAATTTTTAATCATCAATGGAAATACTAGTAAAAAGATGCTCGTTCATCTTTCGGTTGGTGTTTTTTTTTCTTGCTCATACTTTTATATCATCATCTTCATCCTCATCCGTTGAATGGAAATCATCATCATCATCATCCTCTCTTCCAATTTAACCAAGTTAAATTTTTGTCCCATTATATATTGTGACCCCTTCCTGATGAAGATGATACATTAACATGATCATTGATTCAAAAAACCGCAAAAAAAACACAAATGCTTTCACATTCATGTGTAAAAATCAAAACAAAAGATTGAAGATAATTATAATTCATTTAATCTTAATGACATTAACATTCATCTCTCTGTTGTTTTTTTCTTCATCCTCATCAGTAGCATCTTCTTCCTCTCATCATCATTGACTCTCTCTTTCTCTCTCTCTCTCTATCATTTTCTTCTTCCGCTTTTCACTCTCTCCCTTGATTTTTGTAAGCTTCATAATTACATTTACCTCCCATCTCTCTCTCTCTCTCTTTCTCTCTCACTCACTCATCCATCCCACCCACTTACAAACAATAAAGTATATAATGGTAACTATACCAAAGTGATTACCAAAAAAAAGTGACTCCATTAATAATTGACTTTTAATTCACTTGCTACTCTCGAAGCAATCAACCGACTTGAAGGTCATTTTTGGATGATAATGGTGCGTATGATGATGTTGAATGATGGTGAGAAATAGATGATCATTAATATCATTACGGAAGTGATCAGAGAAGCACAAGAAACAAAAGCGAAGAAGAAACAAAAAAAAATTAGAACAAAATCTGCATCCGAACAAAAGGACAAACTGTAAATTCGAAGAGAAAAAATTTTTTCTCTCTCTTTCAACTGATTATTCTGGATTATCATTGATGCTCAGAGTCCATTCAATGATGAAAATGATTATTATCATGATTAATATTCTGGAAAAATAATGAATATGTTTTGTTGGATGTGAGGTTTTTTTTCACAATCGGTTTAATTGTTGGCCAACGCCCCAACAATCATGTTAGGACATTATTATCATTATTAATTGTATTTGATTCCCGGTGACAATCAACTGCTGAGAAACTTAGTCAGTAATCAAGATTAACAATCAACACAATGGTAATCAAGCAGAGTAACTGGTTAGTTGGTAATTAAATCCAACTAATCAATATGAAAATCCTTTTAATCATCATTATCATGTTATCATTATTATCTTGGTATATATTTGAGTCGTTGTAATTAATTGATTCAAACTGATTAACTTTCATCGGTCGCTTGAAGAAAAAAAAAATTTATATTTGTTGTATTTATAATCTTGTATTTACCTTCATCATCATGTAAATATCATCAAGATGATGCTGATTATGATTGGTTTGGTATCTTATGGTGCCGATGTTGATGATGATGATGATGAAGATGATGATAGTGATGACCACTCGGACCTCCTGATGACTGAAACCTTTCATCATTTTGCTAAAATCAACGAAAACAATTTGCCAAAAATTCAAAGTAAAAAATCAATCAAATTTTAATATTAATTTTGAATATCAACAAAAAACAAACAAACAATCAAAGTATCAGTAAGCAAAAGGTCAATATCATTTTTATGATGATCGATTGATAAGCAAACAAGTTATCATCACTATAATCATCATAATCATCATCAGCTGATAGGTAATCTTATTGGTATCATGAAAAGACAGACATACCTGTCGTTGATGATGATCATCATCAGTTAATCTTAAGGTGAAATGATTGGTAATCACTTTCAAGCTTCACATTTAGTTTTAAAAGATGAAGACAAATAATCAATTGATGATGATGACAATCATCATATTCTCGGTCCAATTTACCCTCAGGGTGAATTTTGTCTGAAATCGATAAAGTCCCCCTCTCTCTCTCTTTCTCTCTCTCTCTCTCTCTCTCTCTCTCTCTCTCTCTCTTTCTCTCTTTTTCTCTCTCTCTTTTTCAATCAATAAGGAAATGTTAAGGTAAGAAGATAAAGATTAAAGATTCTGATGAGTGATTACTTGAAATGATCATTGATTGTGATGATGATGATGCTAAGATGCAATTCTAGGTTAATTTTAGTAAATTGGAAATCTAAATGATGACGATGATTAAGATGATTAAGAAAAGGATTATAAAGCGAAAATAAGATGAATTTTCATCCTTTACGATTCATTGACACACTTTGATTCTTGATGATGGTCAATATCCAGGTAAATGTTTTCTCAATTTTTTTTTTACTTCACTTGTTTCAAGTTTCATCTTAATCATTAATTAAAATACTTTTATTAGGTTAATTGATTATCCATCAACATCATCTTCATCTTCATCTTGGAAACAGTTATAACCTTTCATCAACTTTGTTGTCTCATGATTATCAATAAACAGACAACAAATAAACAGGTAGACATACATATGATATGGTAATTTTATCATGACGATTGTGTTGATAGCAAATGTGATCAATTGTTGAAGTGGGAAAAAAATTTTATTCATATAAACATAATTGTTGATTTCTATTAATCATCACCATCAATTTAATCAATCATCATCAACTTGATTTGATTGACAAACATGATGATGAAAACCAACAGGATCAATAAATGTCTCTCTCTCTCTCTCTCTCCTAATTTGATTACAATAATAATTTGTTATTGCTAATTAATCAATCAATCAGTTTTCAAATTTTCAATGGAAACGATTAATTTTATCAAATGAAATTTGCATTTGATTACAAAATCTGGTTACGATTGATTAACATTGATGAAAATTAATGAAATTCATTGAGATAAATAAACATATTATTTTATTATTAATCTGAATTTATTATCATGTTGATTGTGATATTAATAAATTGCAATATCTTTTCTAGATTGTCAGGATGCTGAATTAATTTAGTAAATATTTATTATCATTATCAGAATTTGATTCAATTTGACAAATTGAAAAGTGTTAAGTCAAACAAATTGTTTCAACAACAATCAAATTGATGATGAAAAAAACAGTCAATACAATAACATGAATCAAGAACCATTAGAATCCATGTAATCCAATAGAGAGGAGGAAACGGAAGATGAAAAGTAATCATATTTATAACTGTTTTTTTTTCTGTGGTTTCAACTTAGAGTAAGAGTCAAATTGAACTTGGAAGACTGAGAGAGAACAAGTGAGTTATCATCATGATCCTCATCTCACACCACCTAAACAGCCATCGAGCATCATCATCTCCATGACACTGAAGAAAAAGATTCAATGAAGAAAGAAAAAAACTGAAAGGAGATGCGGAAAACTTTTACACTAGTTATCGATTTTTATAGAAAATTATATTTTCTTTTCTGTTTTTTTATTTCTCATCTTCTCATGATGATGAAAAGTCATCATCATCATCATCATCTTGAAGACATATCAAGATGATATTATCAAGGATAAACATGATATCTAATATGAATTATATAGTGGTAACATTGGAACCCTATTCAAACCAATCTATTATCATTATCATTGGAAATGAAAATGAAATAATAATAAAAACTAGTGAGCAACAAGAAGCAACAACAAAAAAATAAATAAACTTATTTATTTTCATCTAATATTATCCCTAATAAATTATATCATTATAATCTGGTATTCAGTTCAGTGTTCAGGGTTTGCTA